GCTGAACCAACTGCTCCTTCTTGCTTAGGAAATCCTTCCTGAGTCTCAATGAAGCTTCAGACCATCAAAAGCCACTGTGGACATGATTTCTGTGGCACAGAAGATCCAGGAAAAAGCAAAAAAACAACACCAGGAACTGAATATGGCCTTTATTGATTTGACTGAAGCCTTTGAGTCTGTTAACCATAAGGCTCTATGGAAGATCTTATCAAAGTTTGGCTGCCCAGGTAAATTTATCACCATGCTAAGACTCCTTCACAACCAAATGACTGCCTCTATCCTATGCAGTGGCTCTGCTATAGAGCCCTTTGCCAATCAAACTGGTTGCACGATCGCACCAATTTTGTTTTCCATCTTTCTTGTGGTCATCAAGATATTCACCTATGACCATCTGCCACATGGCATCAGCACTGAGCACAGGATGGATGAGAACCTATTCAGTCTCTCCCACCTCTGGGCCAAAACCAAAATTACTTTGGCCTCAATTTCAGAACTTCAGTATAGTGATGACTGTGCTGTTGTTGCACATATTGAGGAGGACCTACAAACAGCCCTTAACTGCTTTTCTCAAGCATACCAGTGACCCTTAACATCAGAAAAACAAAGCTACTTCGCTAGCCTTTTCTGGGCCAATTAACGCCCCCAGCAAAGATCTTCATTGGTGGACAGGAGTTGGAGAATGTTGAATATTTTGCATGCCTTGGCAGCCATCTCTCAAAGAAGGCCAACATCAACAAGGAGATCCAGTATATGATCTGATGTGCCAGCTCTGCCTTCAGAGGACTGAATCATTGTCTATTCAATGATCATGACATCAGCATTTGAACAAAGCTCCTATTATATAAGGCTGTGGTAATCCCAACTATTCTGCACAGCTATGAAGCTTGGGTAACTTACAGGGACCACCTGAAAAGCATGGAATACTTTCACCAGCTCTGCCTGTGGACAATCCTTGGTATAAAGTGGGAGGACTGTCACACACATGCCAGTGTCCTCACCAGTGCTACACCACTGTAAAACCGTGGGAGTCCATGCATGCGCCATGTGACTAGAGGTGAGAAGTGTCTAGAGGGTTTGAACTCTCAAATTTGATGAAGTCATGACCTACTTTTAAGGTCTGGGCATGCACAATATATAATGATATTGTTTGTATTGAGTTGAAATAGTTTGAATTGATTGGTCCTTTTTAAGCATTGCCCAGGTTTGAATTTGATTGGGTATTGCGCAAAGGGTGATGATTGGACCATTGGGTGTGACAGGTGGTATGATTAGAAGGCCATAAATCCTGTCCAGAGCAGCCAGCAGGAACTCTGGGGTCTCAGACAAACATCTCAAATTGGAGGCAGAAAAATGACAGAAATGGAAGTAAACAAGACCAAGAAATCCATGGTCCAACCCTCCCTTTAACCACCACCTGTGGCATTTGCCAGAGAGTCTGTAACTCTAGGATCAGCCTTCTTAGCCATTAACAGACTCATTTACAACCCTTTACTAGACCTGTGGGAGTGATTATCCTTGATTGTGAGGGATCACTGATGATGACAAGGCTACTGATGCTACTTTCTCAGCGTGGGAGAGAATGCAAAAAGCTGAAGGGTCTGGGAAAGGGGTGGGGGGTTGCCTTGTGGTAGTGCTTCATCGCTTCATTGCCCTAACATCTGGGCATAAAGCCAGGATCAATATGTTATTTTGAGCTCTAGAAGCTGCAGGGGGTGTCCCTACTTTTGTGTGCTACTGTGTTTCTGGTAGGGGGATGGATGAGGCGTCAAGTGGGCAATTAGCTTAAGCAGTATTAACTGGACAATTAAAGATGCCCCTCCAAAAAACAAGGCTAGTTTCATTAATTGTCCACTTTGCCTAAAGTAGTACCTATTACCACACCATACTTGCATACGGGATGGCCACTGAGGAAATGGGAGCAGTCCCAAAGAAAGCCATGAGGTTCCAGTGCAGCAGCCGCATATTGCATTCTGCAGAGGGCCAGGGAAGGGGGCAAGAAGTCATGGTTTAAATGCCGCAGATGCCCACTGAGCCATTAAGTTCCAGAGAGCTCTGACTCCCTGCCCACTCACCTCCCATTTCCTGACTTTTCCTAACCCAGCCATAATGGTGGCCTCCCACTTTTCATCCCCAGGATCTGTCCCATTGTGGGCTGTGTTTTCTGGGGCACTGGGACTGTTTGGGGAGAGAGATGGCTGGATGGGGTGGTGAACACTGGTGGAGGACTGGATGCTCCAGGTCCTCATTGTTCAAGCCCAAGTCCATTTCAGAGTCCGCGCAGCTCTGGCAGATGGCTAGTGAGTCTGTGTGCCTCAACAGGATAGACTGGTTGCTCCAGATCTGGCTCATCACTGTGATAGCCTGAAAAGGCTACATGTCTTCGTCCATGATTGGAATTCTCATCACTCTCCTGGATAGCACAGGCCACCATGTCCACCATGTTTTCTGACATGACCACAAAGACGTAAGAGAGTGCCTCACAGTGGATGTATCTGCACTAATTGCACCTAATACATGGTTACTGTCCCATGTCCTTGCAAACTGCTGCCTCAGTACCTGGCACTTAGACTGGTATGCAGCCCAGTCATGGACATATCCCCAGGTTGTCATTTCCTTTGCAATCCATTCATAGAATGCCTTGTTTTGGTGGCTTGTACCTGCTGATTATCAATCTAACGCTAGATAATGATGAGATCTGCTAACTCCTCTCTGGTCCAGTTGTTGCCACAGATGTTCATGACATTTAAGTTGTTGGACTGAGGGGCCATGGTAAAGGGAAGACGGATGGGCGTGTGGGGGTATGGAAGTCCAAACTTGCCTAGGGTAAGTGGTGGTTGGGTCTACTAGGGCCTCCCTAACAACTGGATGGTTTGTTGGATGGAGGTTCCCAGGGGTTGTGGTGATTAAAGTTGGTTCAGTGGCTGTAGTTTCTGATGCTGATCCTGGAGGGATGATGAGCATGAAATGGCTGGCAAGTAATCAATCATACAGGGCAATTAACAGGAAGGGGTGGCCACCTGGGGCCTGACAGCTCTGGGCAGTAGAGTTCTGTGGTCAGGGCCAAAGCAGTTGCACAGAGTTCAAAAGGAGCCAGAATTGGGACTAAAGCAGTGTATTGTGGGATGCCTGGAGGACCAACTGGTCCATTTGCCTCACAGTGATACTGCAAGACAACCATTCAAGCAACTCTCATGATAGCATGGGACAAAGTATAAGTATCTCTTAACCCATGAACATTTCAGAGGATTTGTCCCATGGGAAACAGCAAGGATGTCTGAAAGCTCGCATTTTGTCTTGCAAGAATATATTTGTGTTCTTTCCTGACAAGGACTTACAAAGTGGTTTTAAACTTTCTGCGTAGGAGGTAGTCAATTACATCAGGATCTGTTTGAAACAGATTCCTCAGGATGTCCTGTTGCACCTCTGGGGATACCTGGAAGAGTTACAGAGACATGTAAAATGGTATTTGCACTGTTTAGAGGAGAAATCAGTAAGGCTGCTAATCTCCAGGCCCAACAGGAAGCAATCAAATCCTTATGCAATTTAACACAATGCAGTGATACTGCAGGGATGTCATGTTGTCTTTTTTTTCTGGTTAGTCTGACTAGAACAAAGTCAAGCTTGCACTACATTCTGGGAGACCCAGACAATGATCAGAGCAGATACTAAAGAACTGAACAGCTATCCAGCAGCTGACCAGGGTAGTCCCAACAACATTATATATGCTCACGCTAAAGGTTGATTTATACATTTCTCACTTCCAGAGCACTGCTCATCTTACTCAGCCACAGAGATGCCCCTTCTTTTTTCCTCATTTCTGATTTCATGAATCTTTCCTTCTTGGCTTCCAAGTTGTCTGGCTTCAACAAGCAGCTCCTGGGTGTTACTATCCCTTGGTCTGGTGGATATATCTTTTGCCAGAAAGTGACAAATGTAGGCTCAACCCTTTCACCTCTTCATCCCACCCCCCACCACGGGTTTCAGGAGCCGAAAAACTGGGTCTCCCACTATCTGGCCAGCTGCACTAGCCTGTTGGGCCAAAGGACTCTCCCCTCCTCCAAATGTTCTTTAGTTGTAGGGTTCTTTTTCAACTGTTTTCAGGGCCTTGAATGTAGCTCCATGCCTTTCCAGGCAGAATGGGATCTTAGCTGAGCAAAATTTGCCATAGCAGATCTCTTCTGAGCATGTCCAGGACAAGTCAAGTTCTTCAGCAGG